GACTCTGGGAGGTAGAGTAATTAAATGTATCTTAATAAATACTGGGCAATGCATTTAAAGCCCTTTCCCAAGCATTTGTCAGCTGACGTGACTGTATTCTTCCTGTTGGCAGGAGGCCTAGAAGGAGAGCCAGAGTGTGATCGGAAAGCCAGCCGTGCGCTGGAAGACAGGAACAGCGTGACAAGTCAAGAGGAGCGAAATGAGGACGATGAAGACATGGAGGATGAGTCAATTTACACCTGCGATCACTGTCAGCAGGACTTCGAGTCTCTGGCAGACCTGACGGACCACCGGGCCCACCACTGTCCTGGAGGTAATGCTAAATAGCACCAGGATTCTGACAGGTGGTTACAGGGATAATTGGACATAGCAACAGCTTGAAGCCTCAAGTGAGATTAAAGAATTAATAATGTAATTTTACAGTTAATGTCATTTTATTGTGGTGGCTTGGGTACCCTGCATCCGCTTTTCAAACAAAATTAAAAATAAATGCAGCAGCATATTCCACAGGACGTGGGCTGACGGTGGATGGGTTTGTACCCCACATTTCTGGAAGGCTTTTTGGAAACCCAGCAATTAAGGGATTGTTAATGCACTGCTAAAAAGCTTAAGTGTGACAAGCCACATGAAGGAGTGAGCTTTGAAGCAGGTCTTGTGGTGGGACATGGAGAGTTTTAGAGGCCCTAGGAGAGACTGTGTTAGAAAGGGCCCTACTTCCACCTTGGTGCATAGCCCCAGCTGCAAGATCTGCCCGGCGCCCTCATCTCCATTGATTGAGTGCCTTTGATAAGGTGTACAAGGCCGTAGTTTTAGCAGGAGCGATTTACGACATCATGAGTTGTGTATGAGTCCATCTGGGGACACATGGGCTGTGTCAGGGGAGGGCCAAAGTATTCATTGGGGTGTGACAGCTATACTCTAGGGGAGGGGTAAGCAATCTCTGTTGTCTAGGGCCATTTGGATATTTATAACATCGTTTGTGGGGCATACACTGGTCAAACATTTAATTAACTCTGGAAGTGCTTCTCTTTGATCAAGCGTGTGATGTTAGCTGGTATGGATGACTTTGCTAGCCTTTTAAGGCCTGTGGAGTGGGTGTTCCCCACCCCTGCCCCTCGTCTGTTGCTCTGAGGCAGCTTTCACTTCGTTTGGAAAAGAGAAACGGACCCATTTCCAGGCTCTGAGATACGCAGAGCAGGGAGTAAAGGGCATCTGTGTTCCAATTGTAGTCAGGGAAGGCATCTTTCTTCACCATGGTTGATGAAAAAACCCTTTGGATACTGGTTTATGGGGAAAGAAGCTGAAATTGAGACCAATATCCCAAAGGGGACCAGTCACGTATTAAAGTTATTCCTGTTTGGGAGGTAAGTTTGTTGACAAACAGTAAATGGGACTCAAAGCAAACATTTCCCCTGCCTCTCTTGCCTCTTAGGATTTTGAAGGCCAAGTATTTGAGAGAATTGCTATGATTTACCCACCAGTGATGCCCATGATTACACAGCCTTGGTTGGGAAGCAGTTATAAAACGTAACACACTCAAGAGGACTCTAACAGTATTGAACTGTTGGAGGCTTGAGAAATTCCCGTCATGTGCAATCTGTGATGTTTCAACCAGAGGCGAAGGTGATGGTGAATTTATAATTCTAGAATGAGAATTCGAAGAAATCTGTGAGGCTATCTTTGCCAACCCCTTCACTTCTCACAGGGAAAGAACAGGCTTTACGAGGAAAGGCGATCGATTGATCAAGGCCCCATATGTCTATTCAGGGCCCCGGACTGTTGGCTCTCATCTCATTTGAGAAAAGACTGCATGGGAGCTGTTTTTTGAGTTAGCTAAGAATTGAGGTGGACTCTTAACTGTCAAGAAAAGCAATGTAATTTGCTCTAAAAACAGTGAGTTAATTAATCTTGTAATTAAAGGCTATTCTCTTTATTTCCTAAATATAAAAGAGCACCCCACTCTTTGTTCATTAGAGGACTGCTCCCAGGACCTCGTCTAAGAAATGCTCTGTTGAATCTCTATAGCTCTTGATCCGAGACAATGTCCCAGCATAATCCAGGCTACCCTTTCCTCCAAACCTTCAGATTTTCATTTCTCTCTAAGGCCCTTTTGAGAAAAGTGAAGCGAGTCAGTGTTTTTAGGTGGAAAAGGAAAAAATAAACATGAGGTTTGGGGATCGTATGTTTGAGTCTGTGCTAGAAATAAGAAATGGTAGCTAACAGTGCCTCAGTCTTAGGAGGACTCTCTTCTCAACGGCAGACTCTTCTTGCCAGCCTAAGATCTGAAAGCTATGGCAGCCCACTTGAGGGGTCCCCAGCCGCGCTGATCAGTGCTGGTGGCATCCAACAATACTGCTGCCTGACTCCTAACATGACCCTACTAATGACCTCCCCAGGAATACAGAAGCCAGGAATATCCCCAAACCCAGGAGGATTGGAAGGGAGTCAGACATTCTTTAAAAGAACCTAGGCTAATAGCATCCCTGAGAAATTCGTTACCACCCATTAAAGGTACCACTCAGTCTGGGAGAGTTTCCCTGACAGGGAAGAGACATCCATCTCTCCCCACCCTCCCTCAGGTTCTGAGGATCGACTAACCACAGAATAAACCACTGGGAATTGTGTGCATACCATTCAAACGAGTTCTCTGCCTAGGGTACCTCTGCATTCTTGATCTACTGGGGTTTTCAAACTGGGTTCCTAGAGGGGTCTTTGGGGGTTATTGTATGCGTGTGGGGTGGATGGGTATTGTAGCCAGCTAGCCTGAGTGCATGTCTGACACCCATTTCAAACAGGTGTTATGCTATTTTAAAAATAGTTTATTGGCATATAACTCACACATTATACAATTTAATCATTCAGTCAAATTAAGAAGAGTTGTATAATCATCACCACAATTGATTTGAGGTAATTTTCTTCTTTGTCGTACTCGTTGTTAGCTCCCCATTTCCCCAAACGTCCCCTGCCATGCTCCTAGATAATTATAAATCCAGTTACTGTCACTAGATTTACCTATTTGGGGTTTCATGTACAGAAAATAATACAAAGCACAAACACTAAGCAAGCACACAACCAACAACAACAAAACAACAACAATGACAAAAGAAAACAGAAAAACGTCAATTGAAAAGAAAGCAGAAAATATTAAAAACTGAAACAACCCTAAGCTGGGTGTAGAGGGAGATCAGACGATGATAACTTAACTACATCTGCTGTAATTGACTTTACAATGTTTGGTGTCTGTTAGCGAGGCTATTCACTTCCCTGAACTATGGGTAGAGGGGATTCACCTGAGTCTTAATCCATGTGGGGACTTTGCAAATGAATTTTGGTCTTCTACTATCAACCATAACCTTCTGCAAAGAAGGTGTTTATAATTTAAGGGCCTGATGCCATTCTATCTTTTGGATTTGCATTTTATTGTTTACAATCCTTGGATCACACAGGCTGGTGTGCTTCTATATGGACTTATTAATGCCTCACTTAGATGACTGCTTGTTTGAAGACCCTCACACACAGTACTTCTTATAGCTGGGCACTATCTGGTTTCTTCACCACACTTTGCTATAGCATCTATATCTTCAGTGATCTCTTCATGAGAGTGAGTATAGAGTAGAGTCATAAGAACTGAGTATCAATTATGCCGTGAGAGCTAATTTTTCTTAGGTTGGGACTAGAATTAAGCATGAGCTTAAAAATCCATTCATGGATCTATGAAATATATATATATATATATATGGTTCTTTTATAATCATCATTATCATTTTATGATAATTGTTGCTGTTATTAGATTTTTAAATAATCATTTCATTGGGGGCTCATACGATTATTATCACAATCCATACATCCATCCATTGTGTCAAGCACATTTGTACATTTGTTGCCATCATTATTCTCAAACATTTGCTTTCTACTTGAGCCCTTAATATAAGCTCCTCATTTTCCCCTTCCCTCCTGCCCCCTCCATCATGAACCTCGATAATTTATAAATTATTATTATTTTGTCACATCTTACACTGTCCGACGTCTCCCTTCACTGACTTTTCTGTTGTCCATCCTTCAGGGAGGAGGTTATGTAAATCCTTGTAATCTGTTCCCCCTTTCTACCCCACCTTCCTTCCACCCTCCAGGTATCACCACTCTCACCACTGGTTCTGAAGGGATCATCGTCCTGGATTCCCTGTGTTTCCAGTTACTATCTGTACCAGTGTACATCCTCTGGTCTAACCTGATTTGTAAGATAGAATTGGGATCATGATAGTGGGGGAGGAAGTATTAATCACTAGAGGAAAGTTGTATGTTTCATCGTTGCTACCCTGCACCCTGACTGGCTGGTCTCCTCCCCACGACCCTTCAGTAAGGGGGTGTCCAGTTGCCTACAGATGGACTTTGGGTCTCCACTCTGCACTCACCCTCATTTACAATGATATAATTTTTTTGTTCTTTGATGCCTGGTACCTGATCCCTTCGACACCTCGTGGTCACACAGGCTGGTGTGCTTCTTCCATGTGGGCTTAGTTGCTTCTCAGCTAGATGGCCGCTTGTTTATCTTCAAGCCTTTAAGACCCCAGACGCTATATCGTTTGATAGCTGGGCACCATCAGCTTTCTTCACCACATTTGCTTATGTACACATTTGTCTTTAGCAATTGTGTCTGGAAGGTGTGCATCATGGAATGCCAATTTAATAGAACAACGGAGGTCCAATGTCCATCTGCTGCCTTAATACTAAACCTATAAATATATGCACGTAGATCTATTTCCCCACCATCCTATATAAATATATTACATATGTACATGCCTATATTTAAACCTCCATAAATTCCCTTTGTCTCCTAGTTCTTTCCTCTATTTCCTTTTACTTTCCTCATGTCCCGCTATCATGCTCAGCCTTCATTTGGGTTTCAGTAATTGCTCTCGGTTACATTGTCCTTGTTAATCCCTACCAGGCCTCTCACACCCTCCTTGCCACTAATTTTGGATCACTTGTTGCTCCCTTGTCCCCGGGTTGGTCAACACCACCTCTTTACCGCCCCCCCCCCTCCCGTGTCCCCTGGAACCATCAGTTCCATTGTTTTCTCCTCCAGACAATTAGGTTCTATTGAGTTTGTGGAGACCCTGTGCACAACAGAACAAAACCCAACACGGTCCTGTGCCATCCTCACAATTGCTCTTATGCTTGAGCCCACAGTTGGGGCTACTGTGTCAATCTATGCCGAGCCTGATGACCTTTTCCAGGGACTGGTCTCATTCCCGACAACATATGCAAAGTATGTAAGATAAAGTTTCACCATCCTTGCCCCTAAGAATCACC